CTGTTACCTCATTAATCGCCTACCTACCAAAACGCTTCACTACAAATCTTCATATGAGATATTATTCCATAAATGACATATCTATCACCATTTAAAAAATAATTGGTTGCCAATGTTTTCCTTGGCTTAGGCCCTATCTTAATAATAAACTTAAACCTTTATCCAAAGAATGTGTTTTTCTTGGCTATGCCCCTTTTCAAAAAGGCTATAAATGCCTTGATTTATCTACTAACAAAGTTTATCTCTCCCGTCATGTTATCTTTAATGAAGACGTCTTTTCCTTTCAAAGGAAATCAACTTCTTCCTCATTTCATTCCCCACCCGCCCCCACTATACCTCCTCTTCTCCTGGTTCCCTCTATGGCATTTTCCCCAACCTACAATAATTATAATAGCAGTCCTCATCTGCATAGCCATTTCACCACTTCTCCGGCAGCTATAGACACATGGGACTTCGCCTAATCAAACCGAACCTTCTTTATCCTTGTCACCTGAGCCACTGCTAGCATCATTACCTTCTCTTCCCTCACATACTATGCTCACCAGAACTAAAACAGGTAGTCTAAAACCTCATCATATCCTCAATCTTATTCATCAAACTACCAATGCTCCCACTACTTCTTCTATGGCTCCTAAATATGAACATTGGAGAAAAGCTATGTCATCTAAATTCCAAGCTTTACAAGACCTCGGAATTTGTACTTCCCATGCCCCATTATAACATTCTTGGCTACAGGTGGACTTTCAAGACCAAGTTTAATTCCGATGGATCAATAGTTCGATATAAGGAATGACTAGTTGCTCAGTGGTTCAGACAACAAGAAGACAAAGATTATCTTGAAACCTTCAGTCCAATGGCAAAGATTGCTACAATATGAGTTTTTCTCACTATAGCTACCACCTACGAAAGACAAATTCTTCAACTTGATGTATCCAATGCATTCCTTCACGGTGATCTACAGGAGAATGTCTACATGCAACAACCTCAAGGCTTCCTTGAACAACCTTCAACCTACTTCTGTTTGTAAACTCAAAAAGACTATTTACGGCTTCAAGCAAGCACGCCGTCAGTGGCATCACACCCTCACTACCTATTTACAGTCTTTGCAATTTAACCACAGTTATGTCGATCCGTCTCTCTATGGTTATCATTCCAACAACTTTCATATCTACATGCTCATCTATGTGGATGACGTATTAATAACTGCAAATGATAACACTACCATCGACAATATTCTTTGAAGCTTACACTACAAATTTAAAATGAAAAATATGGGACTTATATCCAAGTTTCTTGGCATACAAGCTACACCTACCTCATATGGTCTACATCTCGATAAAAGTAGTTTCGCAATCATGATCCTTCACACCTCCGGAATGGCTAACTATAGATCTGTGCAAAATCCTGCCAAAACCAGTAAGTCTTCTGGCCTTTCTGATCACAATCATGATCCTTCTTTTTATCGAAAACTAATTGGATATTTGCAGTATTTAACATTAACGAGACCAAATATCACGTATGTCGTTAATCAGTCTTGTCAAACAATGCATCAACCAACTCAATCCAGCATTCAAGAATTAAAGCGTGTACTTCGATACCTACAAGGCATTGTTTCCCTCAACCTACCAATTATTCATGGATCTCTTGAACTCACTGCCTTTGCTGATGCTCATTGGGCTAGTGATCCTGCTGATCGGAAATCGACTACTGGTTACTGCATCTTTCTTGGGTTTATACTTATTCCATGAATTGTGGAGAAGTAAGCAACCATAGCTCGTTCCTCTATCAAAGTTGAATATAGAGCCTTTGCTACAACAACTAAAATTGTCTAGCTACAATGTTTACTACAAGAAATATCATTCTCCAACTCCTTTTTACTGTGACAACACTTCTGCTATTGCTCTTACCAATAATCTGGTGTTTCATGCCCACACCAAGCACATAGATATCAATTGTCATTATATTCGAGAAGTATCAAAATTAATGTTCTTATAGTTCAACATATCAATACCATTGATCTAATTGCTGATCTCATCAATCATCACCAAATTTCTTCCCAATTCCAGGTTTAAGCTTCTTCGTGGCAAATTGACAATCTTCGACAAAGATCATCAATTTGAAGGGGAATGTTAAAGGTGTCTATGTTGAACTAGGTGCAGCTCATAGGGCTGCGAATCGGTTCAGTTTATGTACTTTCACATTGGTGTATTTCCGGTTAGCTATATTTGCTTCTATCCTATGTGATCTATAAAAAGGAGAAGCATGGCTTTGTCTATTTCATCTTATTATGAATTAATTCCATATTCTATTCTAGCTTTTCTGTTTTGCACTATGCTTTCATATAGACACAACTATAAAAAATATGAAAAATTATTACGTATTGCTGACCACACGTCCTGATAACAATCAGGATGTGTCCATGCCGTTGCGAACCGCATGACGGCCCATCCAGATTCCGCACCATCATCTGAACTTATGGTTGCCGCATGTAAAAATTTCTCCAAAAACAGATGAAAAAAAAAATAATGAATACTATATAATAGAAAGAAGTGTCAAAACGTCCTCCTTATTATTTAGAGGGGAGTCCATTTTTGTCCCAAGATTCATAAAAACATCAATTTAATCCTCAAATTCTTTTAATATGAGTTAAAATAGTCTCCACTGAGGACTAGTGTAGCCAACATTAAACGAATTTGGAGATTAATTTAGCACTTCTATAAACTCTGTGACTAGAATACACTCATTTAAATAGTCCAGGGACTATTTTGACAATTTACTCATATATAATAGATACAAATCATAATATATAAAAAAAATTAAAAGAAGACTTATATGCATACGTCTTAATTCCTATCTATTTACATATCTAACATCTAAATTTCAATTTTTACATGATTATCACCTTACAGAAGTTATATTTCACATTTTAAAAGCTAAAAATGATTACTTTGATATGATATGAAAGCTTTGGGTGATATAGATGTAAAAAATCAAAGTTGAGGCGTTAGATATATAAATACATAATAGGCATTGGGTGGTAAATATGTAAATGCCTCAAAATTAAATGACGACAAAAATAAAAATTATAAGATTTATGGTCAAATATGATGAAAACATCAAAAATACAGTTCAAAAAGAATATTTTCTGCAATATATTTATCACAAAACAAAAACTATCTTTCAAAATTAAATAGGTGAAAATTTTACAGAAGCGAGGCATACCGGAATATAGGAACACTTTCAGCCGAAATCTCAATCTAAAATATTCAGCTGCTCTTCTCACAGGCCTTCAGTGCAGGAGGTAATGTCCTGAACAATCCATCCCACAGCGAAGAAGTAATTCCAAATCCCATTGTTTGAGTTCTAAAGTGGTGATTCATATGATAAATCTGGCAAAAAAACTCCCAAGTAAGATCTCTTGCTATTCACAATTTTTTTTTGGGAAGATTTACATGCATACAACTTTATTCTTATGTATTTTCATATCTAACACTTGAAGGTTTGATAGTTACATTTATAACACTTTGATGTTATAAATCTATGCATGTAAATATGTATTTCACTTTTAAGAAGTTGGTAATAATAATATTTTTTATGTAGTGTTTAACATTTGAGTTGTTGGCATGTAAATGTAAAAGTTTAGGAGTTATATATGTAAATATATAAAAATTGTGTGATATATGTTGATCCCCCATGTTATTTGGAAGATTTAAAAACATTACTCTTCATTTCTATGCATGAAAACATGTAATTCGCTCTTAAAAGGTTAATAATATTGATATTTTTTATGTAATGTTAATGATTTGAGCGGTATGCATGTAAATGTAAAAGTTTACAAGTTAAATATGTAAATATATATGAATTGAGTGATATGTATGTAAATGACCCCATGTTCTTTGGAAGATTTACCTAAATGACACTTAATTTCCATGTATTTACATATGTAACACCCAAACTCCAAATTGTAGATACATACCACCTTACCTAAGCATGAAAATGCATATTTCACTTTTTTGAAGTTAAAATAATGATTTTTTTAATGTGACATGAAAGATTTGTTGAAATATAAAATTTATTTTTACTTTTTGGGCCTTAGTTGTTTAAATAAAGCCCAATAAGAGCCTAATTTCTAGAAGTATGTTCTAGAAAAGTCTCGTCTAGAAGCTTATTCTAAAGTAATCCATAGAGTTGTCTAGAATGTGTGGTAGGTATGGAATTATAAAGAGGATTCTAGAGAGTCATTTGTAACCATTAGATTAGAATTGTAGCCATTAATTAAGAAGGAGCCACTAGTATAAATAGGGGTGGAGTCTTTGAGTTTGTATGAAGCTAAGAAAATGTGATAAATAGAAGTGCAGCTTCTTCCATAAATTTTTGACCTTTGTCAAATCCTAAAAACTTTTCTATTCCAACAAAATGGTATCATAGTCTAAAGGTTCCTCTATAGAGCAATAACAAACAGTGGCATGGTTTCCTCCCAAGTCCCGATGCTTAAGGAAAGCATCTACTACAATTGAAGTATCAAAATGAAGACATTCTTTGGAGCGCATGACGTTTGAGAGGTTGTGAAGAAAAGCTATGATGAGCCAAGCGACGAGTCCGCTCTATCCACAACACAAAAGGATAGCTTAAGAGACTTGTTAAAAAGAGACAAGAAGACTCTCTTTCTCATCTATCAATTTTTAGATGAAGATGGTTTTGAGAAGATCTCAAGTGCTACTTCGGCCAAGCTAGCATGAGAGAAGCTCGAGATCTCGTATAAGGGAGAATAAAAAGTTATAAAGTTACAACTTCAAACTTTAAGAAGTCAATTTGATGCTTTGCATATAAAAGAAGACAAGTTGGTCTTCGATTACTTTTCTAGAGTCATTACCATTTCCAATCAACTAAAAAGAAATTGTGAGAAGTTAGAAGATGTGGCATCATGAAAAAGATTCTTCGATTGTTAGATTCAAAACTTGATTACTAAGATGTCAATGTCTTAAAATAGAATATTCTTGCTCAACATTCAAAACGATATTGTCAAATGTCTCACGACCTATTATAAAGATGCTTCTTGGCTCTGACATCTTCGATTTGGGCATCTCAACTTCGGAGAACTTTAATTGCTTTCAAAGAAAAAGATGATGAGAAGATTACCTTGCATCAACCACCCTAATCAATTATGTGAAGAATGTTTACTCCGAAAGCACTTCAGGAAAGCTTTCCAAGAGAGTCAAGTTCAAGAGCCCAAAAGCCTCTTGAGCTCATACATACTAATGTCTGCGGTCCAATAAAGCCAAGTTCACTCGATAAGAGCAACTATTTTCTTCTCTTCATAGATAATTTTTCACGAAAAAACATGGGTGTATTTCTTAAAACAAAAATCAGAGGTTTTTGGAATATTCAAGAAGCTTAAGGCAGATGTAGAGAAAGAAAGTGGTCTCAAGATCAAAGTTATGCGATCTGATCAAGGAGAATTTACTTCAAAAGAATTTCAAAAATTCTGTGAAGCCAACGGAATACGTCGACTTTTAACTGCTCCAAGATCCCCCCAACAAAATGGAATAGAGAAAATGAAGAATAGAACCATCCTTGACATGACAAGGAGCATGTTAAAAAGAAAGAGATTGTCAAAAGAGTTTTGGGCAGAAACGGTTGCATGTGTTGTTTATTTGGCTAACCGATCACCAACAAGAAGTGTGTTGGGAAAGACACCACAAGAAGCATGGAGTGGAAGCCCAGCATCTCTCATCTACGAGCTTTTGGATGCATAACTCATGTACACATACCTGGCGAGAAAAGAAGTAAGCTGAATGACACGAGCGAAAAGTTCATTTTTATTTATTTTTATTTGTTACGACACCAACTCGAAAGACTACAAGCTATACAATTCAAGTACAGGGAAAACAACGAAATACGTCGACTTCTTATTGCTCCAAGATCCCCCCAACAAAATGGAATAGCGGAAATGAAGAATAGAACTATCCTTGACATGACAATGAGCATGTTAAAAAGCAACAGATTGCCGAAAGAGTTTTGAGCAGAAGCGGTTGCATGTGTTGTTTATTTGGCTAACAGATCACCAATAAGAAGTGTGTTGGGAAAGACACCACAAGAAGCATGGAGTGGAAGGAAGTTCGACATCTCTCATCTACGAGCTTTTGGATGCATAACTCTTGTACACATACCTAACGAGAAAAAAAGTAAGCTGAATAACAAGTGCGAAAAGTTCATTTTCATTGGTTACGACACCAACTCGAAAGACTACAAGCTATACAATTCAAATACAGGGAAAACAATCATTAGCAGAAATGTCATACTCAATGAAGGATGAGAATGAAACTGGGGACTACATGATGAGAACTACAACTTTTTCCCATACTTTTAAGAAGAAGACGCAGAGCAACCAAGGATCAAGCAAGCAAGAGAAGAGTCTACTACTTCACAAACAACATTGACTACAAGTACTCAAAGTGGTTCATCGCCGTTAACTTCAAGAGAAAATTCAAGTGAAAAATATCATGCTTCAGAAGATTACTAGATCTTTATGAGGTAACTAAGAATCAAGATAATGTTACTCTCTTTTGTCTCTTTGTCGACTGTGAGCCCATGGATTTCCAAGAATCCATACAAAGCAAGAAGTGAAAAAATGCAATGGATGAAGAAATCAATGCAATCGAGAAGAACGATACATGGGAGCTAGCTTCACTTCCTAAAGAGCATAAGAAAATTGATGTGAAGCTGATGTACAAAGCAAAAAAGAATTCCAAAGAAGAAATTGAAAGATACAATGCAAGATTCGCGGTAAAAAGCTACAGTCAAAGAGTAAATATCGACTATGACAAATTATTTGCCCATGTTGCTCGATTAGAAACTATTCTAATCATCTCTTTGACAGCTCAAAATAAGTGGAGAATACATCAAATGGATGTAAAATCTGTCTTCTTGAATGGAATACTTGAAAAAAAAGTCTACATTCAGCAGCATTGAGGATATGAAGTCAAAGGACAATAAGATAAGGTTTTAAAGCTTAAAAAGACTCTCTACGGGCTGAAGCAAGCACCAAGAGCATAGAATAACCGAATATACAAGTATCTGCAAGAGAAATGCTTCATAAAGTGTCCTTTTGAGCATGCTCTTTACATCAATAATGAAAATAAAAATGTCTTGATTGTTTGTTTATATGTCGATGACTTGATCTTTACTGAAAACAATCCAAGCATATTTGAAAAATTCAAAGAAGTGATGATAAAGGAAATCGAAATGACACATATTGGGCTCATGATATACTATCTTAGGATTGAAGTCAAGCAAAAGGAAGATGAGATTTTCATCTCTCAAGAAGGTTATGCAAGGGAGATATTGAAGAAATTCAAGATGGATAATAGCCGACCTATAAATACCCCTGTAGAATGTGGAGTCGAGCTATCAAAATATGATGAGGGAAAAAGAATTGATCCAACAGTTTTCAAGAGTTTGGTTGGAAGTTTGTGCTACTTGGCATGCACAAGACCTGATATTTTTTATGTTGTTGGATTTGTCAGTCGCTACATGGAGACTCCGACTGCTACCCACCTGAAGACCGTTAAGAGAATCATGTGTTATATCAATGTTACAATTGATTTTGTCTTACTTTACTCATCATCTAACAATTTCAAGCTTGTAGGATATAATAACAGTGATTGAGCTGGAGATATGAATGATAGAAAAAACACTATAGGGTTCGTGTTCCTCGTAAGAGACACTGTTTTCACTTGAATGTCAAAGAAACAACCAATTGTCACTCTTTCTACTTGTAAAACATAGTGCGTGGCTGCAACCTTATGTGTTTGTCATGTAATTTGACTTCGAAACCTATTAAAGGAGTTAAGTTTATCACAAAAAGAGGAGATCAAGATCTGTATCGATAACAAGTCTGCAATAGCTAGCAAAGAATTCAGTTTTCCACGATAAAAGCTAGCACATTGATACGCGTTATCACTACATCAGAGAATGCATCGAAAGAAAGGAGATACAAGTGCAGTACATGAAATCTCAAGATCAAGTTACATATATTTTTACCAAACCACTTAAGAGTGAAGACTTTATTAAAATGAGAAGTTTACTTTGAGTCACAAAATCAAATTTAAGAGGGGGTGTTGAAATATAAACTTGATTTTTAGTTTTTGGGCCTTATTTGTTTAAATAAAGTCCAATAAGAGCCTAATCTCTAGAAGCATAATCTATAAAAATCTCATCTAGAAGCTTATTCTAGATTAATCCATAAAGTTGTCTAGAATGTGTGGTAGTTATGGAATTATAAAAGGAATTCTAGAGAATCATTTGTAACTATTATATTATAATTGTAGTGGTACAATCCTAGCAATTAATTTAGAATGTATCACTAGTATAAATAGAGGTGGAGTTTTTGAATTTGTTTGAAGCTAAGAAAAGGTGATAAATAGAAGTGTAGTTTCTTCCATAAATTTTTAACCTTTGTCAAATCCTAAAAGCTTCTCCATTCTAACCAAATTTGGGTGGTATAAAATTTAAAATGTACAATTTAGGTGTTAGACCTGTAAATACATAAGAATTGAGTGGCATGTATGTAAAGCCTACTTTTTTTGGTTAATTAAGAGCTTCCTAGTAAGATGTTCAGATTTCTGACCTTCAAATGTTTAGCTGGGTTTCTGAAAGGCCTTCCATGGTGCAGGTAATAGTGAGTGCAATCATACATCACATAACCGAGCAAACCCCCACCAAATAAGGCAGGGGCTGCGGCGGGCTTCGCTACGAGTTTGGTCAGGTTCCATAACTGCAGTAAGGAATCAATCATGGCATCAGTGAGGGTATAGTACTGTTACTGGAACAGTTAATTATGTTATATGATTGAATTTCATTAAAAAAAAAACTGGATTAGAATTTGGTGTGGATCGATCTATGCATGAATCAATCATGACATCAGTTTGACTCAGCTTGAAATTGAATCATTAGCAACCGTAATTACCAGAAAAGTTCTGTTTTTTCAAGTATTGTGAACATCCAACCTAACTATGGTTAGGATACATAGTTATTTGTTGTCTTTTAATGTTAACTCTTATACTCATAGATTAAAAGTGAAATGAGAGAATACATGAGACTTACTGGAATGCAAAGAATAGCAGCCGCAGCTGGGGGAAAAACAAGGCGAAGGCCATCCATTGGATGTTTATGATGGCATCCGTGAAGCAAATAATGTGCTGTGTTTGCCCTGCAAATTTACTGATAATGATCTTTTTGTCATGCCAGTGTCTTTTTTTAAACATACAAAACATTAATTTTTACTAACACCAAAACATTAATTTTTACATATGCCACCTTACATATGCCTGAACAGGTATATTTAACTTTTAAAGATAAGGAGTTGTTGGGATCACTTTTATTATTATTTTTTTTAATTTATATTTATACAAGAACTAAAATATAATTGATAGGCTATGATATGTTTACCTGTTTTAAAAGAACTTAAAAATATTTTTTAAATATTTCAAGTGTTTTAAAATACAAAATAGGTTATTTTTTAAAACAAAAAATAAAAATATACAAATATTGTACTAAACAAACATGTTTTTAGAATAAAAGCAAAAATAAAAATCCAAAACAAAACCAAAGGTAATGCTATTTTTTATGTTACGAAAGTTTTTATGTTTGATATGTAAATACATAGGAATTAAGTGGCATGTATGTAAATGCGCCTTGTTTTTTTCGGAGACAGATGTCTTAATATTTTTCATTTTATTTCCAGTTACTAAAAACGGGGGTACCTACCAGTAGCTCTTTGTCCTGATATGGAAAAGAAATCGGTGCACAATGTACTCAATAAAAGTCCATATAAATACTCCAGACAGAACCGACAGAGCAAGCTGGGATGGAGATTGGCCCATGTGGAATGATGTCACCAAACCCCAGCATACAACTGGTAGCCATGTGGTTGGAATGGCCCACCACACAGTGCGTGTCAAAAACTGGTGAAATGAAAGCCCAGCAATTTAGAAGATCACGTTCAGAGTAAAAGACATTGGGTCAAGTTGTTGGATTTTTTAAACTATTTTCTGGCACCTGAAAACTGAGCCAGACTCGAATCAATTTTGTTCTTATGTATTTACATATCTAACACCTGAAGTGTAATTTTTACATAAATATCATCTTATACATGCATGAAAAAGATGTACCCACTTTTAAAAAGTTAAAATTGTGACATTTTTTATATGATACTAAAAGTTTGGGTGCTATAAAACTATAAATGCAAAAAATAAAGTTCAGATACTAGATATATAAATACAGGAGTAGGGTGGTATCTATATAAATGCCCCATTTTATTTATTTAATTATTTGCTTTTATTTTTAAAAATATATCTATTTAGTATATATTTGGGGCATTTACATACATACCACACAATTTGTATATGTTTACATATCCAATACATATATATATTTTTTTGGGGCATTTACATACATACCACACAATTTTTATATGTTTACATATCCAATACATACATATTTTTTTAAAATTTACATGCACACCACTCAAAACATACATAAAAAATATTACTATTACAAACTTTTTAAAAAGTGAAATACGGATGTTCATGCATAAATTTACAACACCAAAAATGCTATAAATATAAATATCAAAATTTAAATGTTAGTTATGTAAATAAATAGGAATGGTGTGGTATGTATGTAAATTTCCAGTAATTTTAACATGCTTAATATTTTATTTTTAAAAACAAATAAACAAGTTTTTAAAAACTCTACAAACAAGGTTACAATGTGTGTTTTTAAAAATAAGTTAATTTATTTTCAGTATATCTAATCTAATTCATTTCAAATTAGAATATAAGCAAAATAAAATAAAAAATTTAAAAAATGATCTAAAACTGCCCATTAGTTTCAGTATAGAGAAATAAGCTATTGCTTAAAAAGTAAATTTTAAACAACTACCTCAAGGAAGTCATTTTCAAAAAAACGTGGGCTTTCCTTGCTGATGATTGGCTGGTGAACCCATTCCTGGTAAGCATCCTCAAGATGGCCAACCTACTCAACAAAGAAGTTCTCTAATTTTCATACGATAAAGCAATGAAAGTATCACTAGAGGCTTCTGCTACAGTTGTGAGTTAAAAGTTTGAATGAGATTTTTTCCCTTTTACATCAAAAGAAAAACAATCAAATTATGCGAGATATTGGATCATACAAGAGCATAGACTGAAAAGTGAGATTTTTGGGATGATAATCTCTAAGGGTGTAAATGAGTTGTTTGTTTATTAAATCGACTTTGAGCTCGAGCTCATGAAGCGTATTGTTTCTTAGAAAAGAGAAAAAAAAATTGTAATTAGGAGATAACTGTAAATTATCATTTTTTAAATATTTTTAATAATTTAAAGATGAACAATTAAATTTTAATATATTTTGAATTATTTTTTTATACATATTCTTTTAAACAAGTCTGCTCATAAGCAAACGAGTTGAGGCGGAGACTGGCCTAAGCTCATCAAGCTTCGCACACGAGCAACTTATCGAGCCGAGCTCGAGCAGGCTCATGAGTCGGTTTGGCTCAATTACAGCACTGATAATCTCTAACAGTGGCTGAACTTGAAAGTATGTTAGTTTTCTACGGCGTTTAAGTGGAAAAAAATTTTAGCCTGTTTGGAAGAATTATAGAAAGATTCTAACTTTTTATCTTATAATAAAGCTTCCAACCTTACTTATGTTGTAAATTTCGCATACGATGATAGCATTGAGAAGATATAAGACAATAGGGTACCTGAAAAACCAGAGGCTTATTCAAGTCCACGGTAAATTCCTTCGTTACCATAATAGGCCAATCTGCTCGATTACATTAAGCAAAGAAAATCAATAAAACTAAGAAAATAACACCGACACCTGCCCTTTACATTTATCTAAATATTTTTAGGAAAATTTACATATATACCACACAATTCTTATGTATTTACATAGCTGACTCTTAAAAGTTTATATTTACATTTATAGCACTAGTTGTAATAAACCTACACATTAGAAGGTGCATTTCATTTTTAAAGAGTAAAAGTGATGTTTTTGAAGTGATATTAAAGATTTGAGTGACCTGAAGATATGTAAATAAAAAAAAATTTAGCCTTGCATGGTATGTATGTAAATGCCCCTTTTTTTAAACAAGGAAAAAAGAAATTAAAGAGGGAAAATGACATATTTGGCAGCCCACATTACTTTTAAACAAAAAAGTATGGGCTATATAATAAAACAAGCAATCTCAATCAAGAATCTTTATTGGCATGACAAGGAGAAAATAACAAGCCCTGGCACAAATGTGGAGTGTTAGAAGGGAAATTTTTTTGAAATGCTCCTCATGCACATTCAAGTCACATATTATTCAAAATTGTATCTTATATGTCGATAAAGAAAAAAGCTAACCTCTCTACACATGAAACATTATTGTGTGCGGTGTCCGATCAGGACCGTGAAAAAATTAGAGTGGGCCCCACTCTAACAATAAATAAAATAAAAAAATATATTTCAGTGGTCATTATCTGACACCGCACGGAAATTGCGGGCAGTGTCTGTACGCAATAATTGCTCCTCCATACACTCCACACTCATCTTATTGACAAGATAACACATAAAACCTTTTGTTTGAAAATATGCAGAACCATAATTTATATTAATAAAAACCCATGGGAACAGCAAAATGTATGAACTAATCAACTTATTTTTAAAAACACTTAAAATAACAAAGTGATGTTTTGAGTACTTTTAAAAATAATCACCTCAACCAAGCATAAACAAAATAAATTAAAATTAAAAAATAAAATTGATCCAAAATGGCCTCTTTTAAGAGATTAAATTCAAAAAAGGAATAATAATTAATCTGAATTCATATCCTTTCTTTAAGCTAACTTGAACTTGAAATGATTTCCTCCCAAAAATCAACATAACCGAAATCTCAAAGGTGTGATACTCCCCACTAACTAATAAAAACTAGATCTGCCTTTAGGCGCCATTTGGTAAAAGGTAAATATACCTTTTTTTTAGGCTTCATGTGTTTGTTGGACCGGATATTGAAAAGGGAAGTTTTAGAAATTATGATATTGGCTACTTTTATTATTTGGTTGGCTGTAGTTAAAACTCAATATTTGATTCAAGTGCCACAAACTCTCTTAAAATTCTTTAAATATAATGATTTGGTTTTCTCACCCAAAATGAGTGAAAAAATTACATCAAATAATAAAACATAATGTATAATAAAACATAATGTAAAGTGATTTCCCTTTCATTCATTATAGCACATTAAGTAGCCTAATTATAGTTCATTTCATTCTTAATTGGTTTCAATTAGATTCTAATCGGTAATTATGATTAATCGCTTAGCTTAATTATTTTTTAAGTAACCTTAGTACAAATAAGTAAATCAATAATTACTATCTAATACTCCTAACTTCAAATTAAATATTAATTACCTTTAGTAAATCAAACCATCTCAAATTCATAATTATTTTAATTATCTGAATCCCAACAACTTCTTAATCTCTTTCATAAATCTCATAATCATTTAGATTCCAAATCCTAAACCAAATAGCCAATTACTTCACAGCAAAATTTAGCTCGATTTAACTAGTACAATGCCCAACAGATATCAGGATTATTAACCCAATTAAAACTTAAATTTAGCCAAACAGCCCCTTTAGACAATCATAGACTACAAAATCATTAATCGTTTCAAACCACATCCAACTTGCACGGAAAACCCTAAAAGAAAATTGCTCCAAAACGCTATCGAAACCATGTCCAAGGAAAACATTGCAAAATCAAATGAGCGAAGAAACATAAATCCACAACAAGCCCAAACCAGCAATTACTACAAGAACATCGCACGAACTCAAGACCACCACACACTTCCCTTCACCTCCAAATCCCAAAACAATAGTAGAACCCTACAATGCCGCTACCAAAACCCTTCAATGAGCCACCGTAACCCCACCCTCAACTCCCCAACATCAGCAAGATGAACACTCAACAGATTTCCTAGATCTGAACAAACCAGAACAAGAGAAAGCTTAATTTCACTCACCTTGAAAATAAGGCCGCCTGGTTTCGTTTCCGGTTCCCCTCTTCTTCTCGATCGGAGAAGAAGCTGAAAGCGTAAAGAAGGAAAGAGCCTCCGGGTAAGCCCGCGCGGCCCCTTCGGCCGTTTTGTACCGGTTTATATAGAAGCGCGATGCAGCGGAACCTGCCGTCAGGAAAACGGAATATCCGTCAGCGAGTTCTGTCAGACGCGTCATTTGCCCGTTATCACCCGACAAATACTAACGCCGTCATATCCTACCTCAGGCTCTCAGCCTGCCTGTACTATTATTTAATTATTTAATGCTTTCGAATTTAATTTAAGGGCCAATTTATTACGTACCACTCAAAATTTAGCGATTTCGAAAATTGATTTAGAATTTTAGCTCGAATTGAAATAAATGAGTTAAATGATTATTTTAATTTTTTGAATTTAATTTGTTTCGAGTCGAATTTGAGTCATACATGAACTGACACGAATTGACTCGAGATCGGCTCATAATATTTTTATTTATAAAAATTATATATACAATACTAAGTAGAATTGAATATAACGAGTCCAAGCAAATTTCGAGTCGATTTCAAACTGAAATGATTCCAAATAGCTCAACTTGAATCGGCTCGTTTTGATTTGAGATAAATCTAGAGTCACGAGCTGATTACAGGCCGCACTAATCTATTTGATCCAATTTCAAGAAATTGGATCTTTAACAACCATATTTACGTATCTAATATCGAAATTATAATTTTTACATTTATATCATTCAAATTTTTCATATCACTATTTACAAAGTGACATACATATAAATTTGAAGTTTAGATGTTAGATATATAAATTCATAAGAATTATTTGATATATATGTTAATATTCCTTGATTTAAAGGATCGAGTATGATTTAGTAAAGTTTACATATTCAAGAGTGGGCACCATTTTACATAATTTACAAAAAAAAAATGAATGTTATGATACAAATATATGTATATATATATTAAAGGAATGACCAAATGTTATTATACGAGCCTCCAGCCATCCCTAATATACCTAACAATAACGAGTATCAGCTTCTTAAGGCCAATTGTATCAGAGGGTATTCAAATCCCCGACCCGATGGAACTTATATCTTAGATGCCAACCAACAGGCTGAGGTACACGATACATGATATGTATGTATGAGGAATCTTATACAGTTGATATCAACCAACATGTCGGGGTATGTGATAAATGCTTATTTCTTAAACTATTTATGTTTGTATGTGTATATACATATATATATATATATATATGACAAGTATGTATGTATTTTATGTCCCTGTATTTATTTATTCATGCATGTATGTTTATGCATGCATGTGTATTATTAATAAGACACTAGTGATCTATATGTTTGGTTAATTTTTATTACAAATAGGTAAATTACCTTCAAATATTAGCTTATAGAGAAGCCATGTTGATTTCCTTATATAAAATATTTTAAGTATTTTTCTTTTATTAATTTATACTTTGTAGTATTAAGTTGGCCATAATCATAAAATAATAAATTTCACAACACATCCAAAGGGGGAAAAGAAAAAAACTTGGAAGTATGCAAACTTGCCTTTGATAGAAAATAGAAACCATATATTTTGCACTAATGATCTTCTCACAATACAGTCTAATTATTGTGTGTGGAGAACGCACACTGAGCTGCGTGCGCTCTCCGATCACAGCAACGCATCGCAACTGTATGACAGTGGATGCGCTCTCCGATCACAGCCGCGATGTGCTGTTGTGATTGTGCTCTATGCACGCAATAATCGCTCCACAATACAAGTTCTAACAAACAATTTTTTCATGCACAAGCTTATGACACGAATGGGTTATATACATAAATATAAAAGTTCGGGTGTTAGATACATAAATACATAAGAATTATATGGTATGCACATAATCTACTATAGACTATGAACAAGCAATTTTCACCTACACTCGTCCAAATGCTCTGGCAAAATACAAAAGAAGACAAACCTATCACCTTTTAAATAAGGAAACTCAACTCTCAAGAGAAATTTACATGCATACCATATAATTCTTATGTATTTGCACATATAACACCTAAATTTTTTTTTATTTACATTTATGACACTTTAATGAAAGAAATTTATACATGAAAAGATGTTAAAGATATGAGAAGTAAATATATGAAATTTTTTAATGAATAGGAAGAAAAAAGAAAATAATACACAAAGTTTGATGTTGATAGCATAAAAGGCAAGATTGTAAATTTATAATGTCATGCAAAACTTTTCTGAATGCTAATGGATGAAATAAATTGACACTTATTGTTTCTTGTTGGAAGACTTTTTGAAAGGTTTCTTGTTTGGCTTCAGCTTGTTGGATGTTAAAGATATGACTTCTTTATCCCTTTTCCTCTGCTTCTCCTTCTTCACATTGAACATTGTAACAGCCTGTTTCACATCAAAAGGAATTCTTAGTAAAAGTGCAAATGAAAAGGGGAGCTAAAAGGCAATCCCCCTAATATATATATATATATATATATGTATATATATAATGTTTGTAAGTGCGGCGTACCCCAGCCTAAGGTGTGGCATTAAGAAGGGGGCATTCAAGTTTT